TCCGCTGACCCACTGAGCACTACCCATGTTGCCACGTTGGATTCATATGCTCGAATCAGTATGTCTACGTTACGTCTCTTTCCTTCACGCTATGCTCGAGTATGATACATGAAATTATATCGATTTTTTACGAGGAATCCGAATCTGAACTTCGATTTTGGGTATCACGCGTTTTAAGTAAAATTTTTCAACTTCAAAAATCCGAAATGACTGAAGTGGCTTAAAATGCCATCTCGGCTCCTGTTTAATGGATTCTCCTGAAATTCGGTGTCAGGGTATGATACATGAAATCGCATCGATTTTTTACGAGGAATCCGAATCTGAGCTTCGATTTTGGGGATCACGCGTTTTAAATCAAAATCTGTCAAAATTCAAAAAATTCAAAATTCGAAAATCCGAAATGGCTTAAAATGCTATCTCGGCCCCTGTTCGATGGATTTTTCTGAAATTCGGTGTCAGGAGGTATTTTTCGACAGGAAACTCGAATTTTTAGTCCATTTTTTAAAATACTCAAATTCAAGATGGCGGAAGTGGGCTAAAATGCTATCTCAGTTTCTGTTTGTTCGAGTCTTGTGAAACGCGGTATCACACGGTATTTTCAACGGAAAACTCGAATTTTTAGTCAACGTTTTAAAATTCTCAACTTCAAAATGTTGGATGTGGCCTAAAATGAGCCCCGGTTCTGGCCTCCGTTTCTGTTCGTTAGGGCTTTGTGAACCGCGGGATCAGGGGTACTTTTCGACAGGAAATTCGAATTTTTGGTCGATTTTTGGAAATTCTCAAATTCAAGATGGCGGACGTGGCCTAAAATGCTATGTCGGCTCCTGTTCGATGGATTTATGGCGCCCCCTTACTGCATGCCTACTCTTGTATTTCTGTACAGCCGCAAATTTAGGGTCAAGGGGTGCCTGACCGTTTATGGACCAGGTGGAGTTTTTGTCCTGAAAATTTACCTTTAGACGGCAACTCTCTTTATATTTTGTCTATGGTTTTTATGCCCCCCCCCCTTTCTCGCGGACTCTCTTTTCACTTTTCTTGCCTCCTTTTTCCTTCCATTTCCCCCCTTCTTCCTTGCCATCACTGCCCAGCCTTGTTTCCTTTTCCTTTTTTCCCCTTGTACTTTCTTCCCTTTTTTCCTTTTCCTTTTCCCTCCTTTTTTCCCTCTCTTCTTCTTTCGTGGCGCCCCCCAAAAGGCTGGCGCCCGTGTGCGCCGCACGCCCTGCACACGCCCTAAGTCCGGGCCTGACTATGGTGGACAGAAACATTTTTAATTGAAAGTCCCCTCAAGTCGTTTTAAGAGAGGGAAAAATCACTCGATGCGATATACTTTCAATTCAAACTTGGTGACATTAAAACTTGAAAACATCCTTAGCTGTCTATCGAAAGGCGAAATTAAAAGACGTTATTAACCTCCTGTGTTAACATAATTTTCGTGAGGCAACACTTTCAGCTTTACTGTAGCTGAAATTGCATAGTCTTTAAAATGGAGGAACTTCGATGCTTTTATTTGCGAGACTAACTTATTGTCCTGCGTGATTATTTTTTATTCAAAGACCCAAAAAAATGACTAATCACGCATAGGGAGGATAGAGAGGGAGGAGAAGAAGAGAAAACGTGAAATAACGGATGATGACGATAGCGTAAGGAAATACCTTACCACAGAAAAATGGTACGGAAAATTAGTCCATGAGATCGATTTTCCATACCAAGATTTTTATTCCATCCTCCCGTCTCTCACAAAAACTTGAAGCTGGGTTTTCCATTTCTTATTGTTTGTGTATTATTTTCTATTTATCAAAAGGATCATTTCTTAGTACATTTATCATCTATAATGGTTTAAAAAAAATACAATGTCTTGAATTCAATACAGAAGCATACTTGAAGTTGCTTGCAGCTTACTTTATGCAGACAACGATTATGGATTACCTTGTTTTGATCGTTTGGATGCCTGTCAACGCTTCAATGAAGTCTTGGTTCAATCTACGCAGTTCCTTGGTGCTGTGAGGCGCTAATAACTGAACAATATCCAACCAAAACATGAACTCTGAAACAATCAAAATCAAATATTTGCTTAAAATGTTCTCCTAATACGGAGGAACCATACTCTTCCCTCTATTTCTCGTCTCGCATTCCAATTGGATTGCACTTTGCAAAAAGGAACCACTACCATTGGAATGATGCTAAGATTGTGCAACTTCATCCTTTGCAATAAAATTTCGGAAATCGTGAAAAACTATGAAATTTAGATGGTAATTTTTGTCTTAAATTCACAGTTTTTAGCGAGTAAAATAGAAACTGTTAATGGATAATCGGGTTTTTCCTCAAAGACAAAAGAAGTTGCACAATCTTAGCAACATTGCAATGCTATCGGTTTCTTTTTGCAAAATGCAATCCAATTAACAATCAAATATTGTGCTTTTAAAAAAATTAATTTTAAAAATCCTCATAGTGAAATTCACAAGCTTGTTTTTAATTATAGAAGGCAAATCTGGTATTGGAAAGAATGGGCAAATATCCATGTAGTAGCATCGTAAACTCTGAGCGGATACGTCTATCAATCCAATCGTTTCATCATTAACTTGTTATTGTCATAGCGTAAATTTTAAAAAAAGATCTGAAACGAGGATGACGCGAACTACAGGTATTCGTGATTCTTTGAAAGAAGACAGGGATAAATAAATCGCAAGATGCGTATCAATTAAATTGGCCTTAAAATGTACAACAAAAACAACAAATTTTAAAAGATGCACATGAGAGGTTTTTTATAAGAAAATAAACTAAATGAGGGCGGAAGAAACACCATAAAATTATCTCCCTTTTATCGCGAGGCTATGCTCTCAAAGCGGCTACATCGACTCCGCGATAGTCAAAAAAAGATAGTTTCTCTTTCAATAACCCATATTACAACAGCACCAAATTTGATGATTTTGCAATTACATTTCAAGGTGGTTTTCTTTACAAACATGTACTTTAGATGACTTCATTCTTAAGGGTAAAGGTCTCGATACAAGATCAAATTTCCGAGCCAATTACCATCAAAGGGTCGGGACTAATCAGTCTTAAAATCGTCACTTCGCCTAATGTTCAAATGAAAACCTGGCAGAAATGTTTCGTGTGGCAAGAAATGATGAATGGTGGCACTCCATTCTTATCAAAATTTGACGGCCCGTCCAATTTTGATCAAAGGAGACCGTTGCATGGCGAGTCCAACATACATACCTGAGAATGTTTGTCCGCCAAGCTTTTGACAAACGTTAGTGCGCCTTCAATTACATTTGATACCGTGCAATACTTTCGTGGTGGAATAGTTGCATTGACGCCTACAAACCTAACAGGGATACTGCATGCATTGCGCAATGAGTAAGTATCCCTGTTAGGTTTGTAGGTGCCAATGCAACTATTCCACCACGAAAGTATTGCACAGTATCCAATGTAATTGAAGGCGCGTTAACGTATGAAAATTGACTATTACCGTCAACCACTGTTTGCCAAGTGGTAACTTCATGCCGAGTAAAACATTTTACAGGGTCCAAATTTTCAAAAACGATATTCATGGTATAATCACCATGTTTTAGCGCACTTTTTTGATGGCTCCTGGGTTTTTTTTAGGTCTAGAGAGATGATATTGAAATAGGTCGAACTTCATGATTTTGCTCAGAAAAATTGCAACGTCGCATTGTGTCAAAATTATCAAAAGGGGAGTATTGGGAGCATCTTAGCTACTAATTTCACACTCTGATTACAATTTAGGCATCTGTAACGTTAATTTATCCAGAGGGAAAAATCATCGAAAACAGTCAAAAATTCGCTATTTTCATGCGTGAAAATGGCAACCGCGCGTCGGGTCAAAAGCATGGAGGGGATCCAAAACTTCACTAGGGTGTAGTTTATGAACTAATTTTGCCCTCTGTTTAATTTGCAGACCCCTCCGACTTTATTTTTTGGGAGCGAAAAATTACTGAAAAATAGTAAAAATTCGCTATTTTTGCGGGGATAAATGGCAACTGCGCGTTGGGGTAATTTTGTCCGATTGACCGCAAATTTCATTTTCCGTGTTTTCGAACATGCTGTAACCGATTTAAGGAGTTACGGCTATAAATTTACGAAATTCATTTTTTCTGGGCCACCCTAATGGTGACCATCAGTCATCAACTGGTCTACTTTGATCGGGATTGGTTCGGAATTTGATCGTGTATCGAGACCTCATAATTTAACATGACTTACCGACAGTCTGCGGCGCTGTTCTCTCGAGAACTTTGATGAGACCCTCGAAATAGTCCACGTTGTATACTAAAATTATATCATCGTCTTCAAGATCCAATGTGACGTTCTCCACATTTTCAAACATCAGATTGAAATACCACCGCCAGTCAATCTACGCCAGGTATAAACAAGTCAGTTGGATTAGAACCATAACGGAAAAAGAAATAGATAATTAAAGGGCATTGCTTCAAAAGCAGAGTTCACGCTGAATAAGTTCACACACTTATATTCTTCCAAAAATTATTGTGAGCATCGTCACAAATTTCAGGAAATATGCCCAGTTTTTTTTTTTTTTTTTTTTTTTTTTTTTTTTTTTTTTTTTCCAAATTTAAAGACTACCAGGATAACATAGACACGTGGAATCACACTTACCAGTTGCTTCCCTGTTTCCGAGAAGGAGTTGGTCAATTTTTGTAGCTGTCCCAATGTGTATACCTCGGGTTCAGGGTCAGTGTCGGTTTTGTTCTCGATTAACTGAGGAGAAATCAAATGACAGAGGGTGTAAGTTTCTCGTTATTTACTCGATTTTATTTTGTGCCAGTGATAATGAAAATATGATCGTAAATATCATCAAATACCCATACATCTTTCACTATTGAACTAAGCATACGTTTCTTATGTCACTTGTTCCCAATTTTTTTTTGTCAGAAAAGACTCAAAGTTCATATCACCAATTAAGTATGATCGATGTGAAACGAACCTATCATCTAGTCAGACTCCTTCAATTTTTGAACGGATTGAACTAAATCACCTAACTGCATGAAACACTGCTCAATTTTTTCGGATGCTTAACTTTTTCAACAGAAAATTATGCAACACTGAAATACCTAAACATCAGGGAAAAATTAGGATCTTGTCGTGTATTTGTTTATTCATAATTTTTTCGTTATTGATTATCATTCCATATTCATCTTAAATTTGATATTATAATAATTGTTCTTTGGCTGAATTGACTCACAACGGAATCAGAATAAGCTAGGAACAAGTAATTTCTTTTCGGCAGGCAGAGAACAAAAGCTCGATCAGAAAGGGTGAGACTACATAAAAATAATGCGGCGTTGTTAAATATTATCTACTGGTGAGGATAATATTTCATTCCCGTATGGGGGACCGTTGTCACAGGTTTAGCAATCCTGCGGACCCCAGCTGGTAGCCCCTGCCTCAAAGGGAGCAGTGGAGATGGTCACCGGCCTCTGGGCGTATGAACCACCTGCTAGAAGGGCAGACAGGGCTCTGAGCTGAAGTGAAAGCAACCTGTCTAGGAGAGGCAACTCCGAAATCAAACCCTGGTCCTCCAGGTTGGGGGTTGAGTCATCGGGCTAACTCCCCGGTACTTGTAAAAAGTTTTACTGTTAAACGACCTAACAATACAAGCCTCGGTACCACTAGAACTAAACGGACACGTCGACAAAAATTGAGAAAACGGACAATGGTATTTGGGACGTGGAATGTCCAAGGCATTTCAAATAAGTTACCGGAAGTGATATCGGAGATTCAGAAACTTGGAGTGGATGTCGCTGTTCTTACTGAGACCAAGAAAAAAGGGCACGGGTCAGAGAATTACGGTGACTATGATCTATTCTACAGCGGCGTAGCCAAAGATCAGCGTGCTCAGCAAGGAGTAGCAATACTTTTGCGGAGAAGCCTACGTAAGTTCGTGGGCACTTGGGAGGCCGTCAACCAGCGCATTATCAAAATGAACCTTAACCTGTACGGACATAAGATCACGCTGCTCGGAGTATACGGTGTAAATGATGATGCCACTGTCGCATGTAAGGGCCAATTCTTCGAAGATCTGAATGATGAAATACTNTTTTTTTTTTTTTTTTTTTTTTTTTTTTTTTTTTTTTTTTTTCCAAATTTAAAGACTACCAGGATAACATAGACACGTGGAATCACACTTACCAGTTGCTTCCCTGTTTCCGAGAAGGAGTTGGTCAATTTTTGTAACTGTCCCAATGTGTATACCTCGGGTTCAGGGTCAGTGTCGGTTTTGTTCTCGATTAACTGAGGAGAAATCAAATGACAGAGGGTGTAAGTTTCTCGTTATCTAATAATTCGATTTTATTATGTTCCAGTGATAATGAAAATATGATCGTAAATATCATCAAATACCCATACAATAGATACTTTCATTAATGAACTAAGCATACGTTTCTTACGTCACTTGTTCCCAAATTTTTTTGTCAGAAAGTTAGTTAGTTAGTTAATTTTATTTAACGACGATCAGCATCTAGGCTATTTACGTCGGGGACTAGGCAATTTTAAATTTTTAAATTTAGTTTCTTGAAGAGTTTTAAAATTTCTGTTACTACCATTGGACTATCTGAACACAAAGGGTGCATATTAAGAGGGAGGGAACTTCGAATTTTGATACGTGTGGCATAGGTTTTAGGGCAAGAAAGTAAAATATGGTCGATTGTAAGGGGGGAGTGTTGACAAAGAGAGCATAAAGGAACTGGAGATTTTGAAATTAAATGAGAATGAGAGAAAAAAGTATGGCCGATTCGCAGTCTCGCAATTTGGACTTCGCAGGTGCGGTGTTTGTTGAAGGAGGTGTTATCATATGGCTTAGGTCTTCTTTGAAGTAAGTTTTTGTCGTTGTTCATCCAGTAGTCTTCCCAGGAATAGACTCAAAGTTCATATCACCAATTAAGTATGATCGATGTGAGACGAACCTAGCATCTAATCAGACTCCTTCAATTTTTGAACGGATTGAACTAAAATCACCTAACTGCATGGAACACTGCTCAATTTTTTCGGATGCTTAACTTTATCAACAGAAAATTATGCAACACTGAAATACCTAAACATCAGGGAAAAATTAGGACCTCGTCGTGTATTTGTTTGTTCATAATTTTTTCGTTATTGATCATCATTCCATATTCATCTTAAATTTGATATTATAATAATTGTTCTTTGGCTGAATTGACTCACAACGGAATCAGAATAAACAGGGAACAAGGAATTTCTTTTCGGTAGGCAGAGAACAAAAACTCGATCAGAAAGGGTGAGACTGCATAAAAATAATGCGGCGTTGTTGAATATTATCTACTGGTGAGGACAATATCCATAACTTGTAAAAATGAATATGAGAACGAAAGCTGTTAATGATGTTAGATGCAAATAAAGGTTTTTGATTCTATTTTATGTTCGATTTATTGGACCTTATAATGCTAAAAGGAACTAAAGTCGGGTGGGAAAAAAGGGATATGCTCGTTAGTCAACGGCCGTAAGAATGAATGTGAATTATAAAGCGCTAGTGACGTCAGTGGGGCGACGGGAGCAACTCGTAGGTTTTTAACTCGTGAGCACTGTGCACAACGCTATTGTAACATGCGCAAGGCTCATGAGTTAGGATATTTTGGCGCTTATATAGTTATTATAGCAATTATAGTTCCTTTTGATTTAATGTCAAATCCCATTTTGCCATTTTCCCAAACGGAGCCACGCCTACTTTTACATTATGTTTCTCGTACAGCTCCCACGAGCACATCCCATCTTCCGCATCTGTCTCTAGTTCTTTTTAGCATAAATACGTCCACATTAACCTGCCGCCTGCCAATTAAGTGAACTGCATTTAGCAGAAAGGAACCAAGCCACATCAGATACTGCCACATTTAACTATGAGAAAATTAATTTTTAACAAGAGAACGTTTGTGCGGATTCTTTATAAAATTTTAAGGAATTCGCTTCGTACTGCGCAGAAAATTCACTGAAATTTGGACAAAAACCCGCCAAACGATTTTCATGTAAAAAATTAAAGTGCCCGATTAAATTTGGCAATAGCTGATGTGGCTTGGTTCCTTCTTGTTTGATGCGGTCCAAATGCAATTTGGACGACCTCATTATAGGCCGAGCCCGATCTGAGTGATTTGTGTTTAAGAATGATGCAGTGATGAGTGTTTGGGAAAGCGTGAGTGGTGCAGACTATTCTTTTTTCGTATTTCACCTGATGGATTTCATTGATCAATATGTTAGCTTCTCTGATGGAATTGACGTACTCGTCGATAATCTCTTGGGTCGTGATCGTTTTGTTTTTGTAGTCGTGAAATAGTTTGATGACAGATATGACGTAGTTGTAGTAGGCCTTCACTCCGTCGGAAACGATCCCCTCTTCCTCCAGGCTAACCTCTTCGGCCATTCTCCGTCTCATTCGTTTTTCCAGGTCTTTGTGGCTGGTTGAAAAACAAATAAAAAGAAAACTTACACATAATCTATCTTAAAAAATTCCACAGAGAGCTGATCACTCATTTCTTGTTCGTCAGAATTTTTGTCGGGGGTTTATTCATATTTTTCTCTGACACTTTCAATTTTTAGACACAACAAATTCACGTAAGGGTATGAAACTTGATACATCGATTGGACCGCGTTTAGCAGAAAGGAACCAAGCCACATCACCTGTTGCCAAATTTTATTAGGCAATTTAATTTTTTGCAAGAGATTCCTTTGAAAATTTTAAGGAATTCGCCTAGCACTGTGCAAAAAATTCACTGGAATTTGCACAGAAGTCCGCACAACCGTTTTCATTTAAAAAATTAAATTGCCCAGCTCAATTTGGCAGTAGCTGCTGTGGCTTGGTTGCTTTCTGCTTAACACGGTCCGAGTGTAATTTCAAAATTCTGTGAAAATGAGAATTAATGAAATGGTAATAAAAATCGGAGAAAAATGGTGTAAGAATGTCTTACTATACAACATTTTTGTTTGCTTGTGTAGAAAAAGTATTCACAGAATACTACCAAAAAATCAGAATAAAACAAAAGTTTAAAAAGGGCTTTTTCTATGATTCCGTATAAAACTTCATAAAACCTAGATCATTTTTCAAAGTTAGGAAAGATATCACACCCGTAAATTTCCAAAATTGTATTCAGTAATACGGGGTCGCTACCGCTCCTGGTAATAAAATTATAGACTAACACGTGGGGCGCAAAGCGGTCAGGGGGCGCAACCATTTAGTCTCTTTTAATTTATGTAAAATCTGTCTTTAAAATCAGTCAGAGTAACTGCAGGTAATCAGTAATTGTAAGCTTCACGCCATACGTTTCTAGAAAAATAAATGTAATTTTGTAGCATTATCGAAAATTTACCAAACTTTATGAAACATGAAACATCTGACAGATTTAAAACGGGATCAAACTCGTTTCATACATTGTTACAATGAAATAAAGAAAGCCCTTCTCACTTTTTTCATTCACAATAGAATAAACTCAACTCTTGTCACATACGAAACTAACAGAACAGACGCAGGTCAAATTGCATACCCCCAGAATTGAAGGATACACGGAGACGTAGCGAACACTAAAAAGGAGGAAGTCACTGTTACAGCCATAATCTCAGCCCACCGCACTCAGCTGTTGTATGACTGACGTTACAAGCTTGACCACAATTGGACGTGTTTATGTTAAAAAGAACTATAATGATGATACAGGGGGAGGGGGGGGGGGGGGGCATGGGGTGTGCTCGTTTGAACTGCTGAAGAAACGATGTAAAAGTGGGCGTGATTTATTCCTTTTGGCAAAATGGATAAGTCGAATTTACATTTTATCAAAAGGAGCTAAGCTCCAATTGCATGCTAACTTGCACCTTGGGCGTGTGACAAGGGCGTTATGGACAACACTCATGAGATAAATGATGTCAACTTGAATCCCCTCGTCCCCATCGTCACCGCTGACGTCACTGGCGCTTCATAATTCCCATTCATTCTGACATTCCTCAACTAACGAGCACACTCCTTTTCCATCCGTCTCTGGGGGCTGATTGTTGAAATTGATAGGCAAAGCTGTAGACAAAGAGGACATAGGGAGTGTGGAGCGATCCTTTTGAGTGAAATGGTTGCTCTCTATAGACTAAAGGAGAAAATGATGGACTAACTATGATGTCTCTCGTGGGTTGCCGTCAGTTAGTCTATTATCTACCACCTTTGTCCATGGCAACCACACGCCTCCACCAATAGGATCCCTCCATATCCCCTCTGTCTTCTGGGTCCATAGCTGTGTCTATCAATTTCCGCAATCAGCCCGCTGGTTCCTTTTAGCATAAATACGTCCAATTAAACTACAATTATTATTCGATATTCGTGGATTTTTCTTTTGCTCACCTTGGTAGGGGTGAGTTAGCCTCGGGCCTATTGATGCTTATCCTGTTGATCGTATGGTTGAAAGGGTCCGGCCCAACAGAGACTTGCAAGAACAGATCCCTGTTGAGACCTAACTTTGCGTTGACCGAGACTTGACCCCATCCAAATTTCGTGTTGTTTGCCGGAGGCAAGAGCGACAAGCCTATGTCCTCCATCACATCCTCAATTGGAGCGAATTTCAACTCCTCGATCGCCTCTGAAAATGACAATAATAATCAATTAAACATCTAATAAAATACTTTTACACTTCTATCAAAATAGTACCTTCTTTTTAAATAACAAAATATTTTTTTAAGTCAACATTTACCATTAGTTTGTAAGATTCAGTTTAAAATTTTTGGACCTATTGACAGTATAATGTGTTACTTCAATGATTTTATTTTGATACGGTGCTATAACACGTGCTAATCTTGCCACACGATTCTATATAAATCATGAAAATTAAATGAAATTCTGAAACTTGACGATAATAGATTTTTAGAGTTGTAAAATATGTTTCTTTGAAGTGCGTTTTTTAAACTTTTAAGCTGCGTTATGATTACTCACCTGCATTCATACACGCTCGAAACATGGTTCTTGCTTGATGAACAGCCGCAGGCTCAGAATCCGAGTCATTTCGCTCTAAGTATTCTGGAAGAAAAAGACATCAATTTCTTATTATTTATTTTATTTGCTGTAGAACTGTACGTCTCGGTAATCCAGGATTGCACGAGTCTAAAAATATATTAGAAAATTGTGCGAAAAAGGCACAAGGATTGTGCGAATAGAAACCTTAACATCTGCTACAGGAATGCGCGAATTAATGAAGTAATTTAAGGTAGAAGTTTGGCAAAGCAGGAAACAATTGGAAAATAAACGCATTATTATGTTACGCTAGTTTAAGTTAGTTTGTTGACAAATCATCGATGTCTTACCCTATGATGATAAATGAAAGGATTTGATTGAATATTGGTTGAGGGTATAAAGAACTTACCTAACTTTTCTCGGAAAAAAATATTTAATCGGGAGAAACGAGGCTACGTTGAAATGCTTATGCGGCGTCAAAATACAACATGGGCCTTTTAAGTTCTATTATTCGATGCCGCGATTATTGTAACGGGAGTTCGAATAATCGCGCCGAACAGTGCAGCGTGTAGCTGGAGCGTTGAACGTAGATTAGCGCCTGCAAGACTATGGGAATACCTCACGCATTGCACCAAATAGTGCGGTCGGCGCACAGCCCATATGAGCGCCTACAAGACTGCATGAATACTTCTCGCATTGCACCAAACGCATTGCAGTCGGTCTGTTGACCTGAAACGCATATTAGCGCCTACAAGGATGTATAGGAATGCTGTTGGACTGCGTGTCACTTTCTGCTGAAGTTTTACCCTAATTATAGGGGAAATATGAATCCTCGTTGTAACAATTCAGAAACTCGGATGATATTTAATTTTGTTTGGGTTACATTAAAAGAAAATGGAACGAACGAAAACATCGCGTCGAAATTTTCGAGACTTTTATTTGAGATCATTTAGGTAAATTCGTGGCAACTTTTCAGAAAAACTGTGTGTAACTTTTTAAAAACATATATTAGAAATAAAACATATAAGTGGTGTATAACGTTGCAATCAGAGATAAATATGCGTTTCTTTCGGGTGCACCCGTCGGGTTTTGAATCCATTCATCTCTTAAAAAACTTTAACATGGGTTTTCTACGATTTTTTACGTGCATTTTTTTCAGTAGTTGGCAGCTAGAGACCCCTTGTTCAATTTTTAAATGTCTACGAAAGCTCTCTGGGCCATCCGTGCTGCGAGGGCTATCCATCGAAGAGAGACATGCCCGTAAATGAATAGAGAATGAACAGTCTTCCGCGATGTAGCTATCTACCACAAACTACCATGGTTGCCAGATTATTCGCGCGAACATGTGAGTTCTCAGTGCCAGAGAAATTCGCGCAATCATATACATCCAAGAAGATAAAAGAGGGGGCATTTGCGCAATTCTATCGCAGCCGTACAACAAGCAACAAGGTAATTTTGAATCGCTTACCAGAGACAAAGAACACGGAATTGACTTCAGAGCGAGATTTTAGTAATGTAACCTACCCTTTTCTCAAGTCCTACCGTCCTTATAAATTGAATTTTGAGAAAATAATAGACATCACTGTTCATAGGCTGAGGACATGAGCCCATGCGTAAATAATTGATCGACGTTTCAAAGCTGCGAAGCTTCAAACGGACGTATTTCTGTCAAACGGAACTATGGGCATTATGACGTGAGCCCTGCTATGCATACATTCTCATGGGTCTCAGGGCTCATGCCTTAATGCACATAGTTCCGTTTGGTAGAAATACGTCCAAATTATATGCAAACAACCATTGCGTGAGTCGATCGCGTTGAATGTAGCGGATTGTAAAAGAAGTTACTCACGTGGTTCGTTCGTACTTGGTAAAATTTCCGATTACAGCCGGATGTTTGAAAATTGAGACGGAGCCAACTATATTGTGAATTTGTTATAGGATTCCTAATCGTATTTTTTTATTATTTGTTAATTGTTCATATCTTTTTTAGTTTAAAACATGGAAAAATAACTAACATAAAATAACTCAGTTTCCGATATTATATGGAAATATGTTTTATCTTGTGTCCAATCCCCTTAAAAATTTACCGAATAATTTCATTGGATTTTTTCGTTAGTAAATAAAAGAAATAGGGACTTTTTAAAAGTTGCGATGCGGTTAAGTTTTCTTTCCTGCCTCCCTATGAGTAAGTGCATGGTTGTGCACGAGTGAGTGTATTAGATGCATCAAAGCGCTTTATAATTTTTGTCGCTCGTTACCTGTATCGGCCTCTAAGAAGCGTCGGTTATTTGCGCAAATTGGCAGCTTGGTTTTTCCTAGATCGAAATCTAGCATGAGTCAAGGATTTGCAATATAAGTACTGCTTCAATTTTAAAATTTCCATAGCACTATCAGATTAATCGGTTGTCTGATTTTTCTTCCTTATCTATTTTATAAGCAATGGTTATATTTCTCAGTAAGAAGCTACCAATGAATGAATTTATAGGTGTTTAAAAAAAATAGTAAAATTTTGCGAGAAAAACGATGGTCCCTTTGGTTTTCTCTGAGACACGCTCCTAAGCTCAAAGGCTAGTCAAAGTTGAGGTAGTAATGAAGACGACCAGACTCGATTTCGAGTTAGGTTAGGTGGTAAAATAAAAACAAAAGTGTGTCTATCAAAAACTGCTAAAAAGTGCCCCTTAAAGCCAAGTAAACCCAGAAAACTATACATCATTAGAAAGCTCTATTTATGAGGAATATTTTGAAAAAAAGTTCATTGAAATCGGTTGAGATGCAGCGGAGATATGAATTTTTAAAGGTTTTTACTTTAAAAAATGGGAACGTCGCAACCCGGCGTTTCTAAGCAAAACAGCGACCGGTTTTGGGCGTCTCGAAAGATACTGTATCACCCCAAGTGTTCAAAATTCGAGAATGTCTTGAGGCATTTTTGGCCGTTTTTTCACACACCTCTTTGACTTTGACTGCTGTCTTCGCTATCACGGCAGTACTGATGAGGGAGGCTTACCTCTGATGGAGTGTTCGATGCGGGTGCGTCGCTCGTTGAACCAGTCGTGGCTGAAGGCGGCGTCCGGCGTCGGGTGTTCTTCGGCCCAGCGTCCGCACGCGAACCCGTAAAAATCCTCGCACGGGTCCACTGACTGGTCCATCGACTGCAGCAGGTTCGCCGCTGTAACAAACATCTGCCGTCATCATAAATGGTCTTCTCGCGTAAAATGCCGTTTTTCAGCACCTCGGGGAACAACCCCATGGTCGATCGATCAATTAGTCAGCTGCGCTGATCACGGATTCATCTTTTATTGATTTCAGATGATCAGCAAGAAATAATAAGATCTGTCCAAACACCAAATATGGACTGCGCTAAGCAGAAATGAACCAAGCCGCACATCAGTCATTGCCAAATTCAATCGGGTATTCAATTCCTTCCATGAAAACAGTCGTGCGGATTTGTGTGCAAAGTTCAGTGCATTTTTTGCATGATTCGAAGCAAATCCCTGAAAATTTTCTAAGGAATCCGTTCAAACGTTCTCTTGTAAACAATTTGAGTGCCCAATTTTGGCAATAACTGATGTGGCTTGGTTCTTTTCTGCTTAGCGCGGTTCATATATCATAATGCTTAAATACTGCGTCTGACGGTCCATTTTATTTTTTCAAGTTCCGCCTAATCCCTTTATACTGAGAGTTAAGACACTGTGAATTCATTTCTGATTGGTTCCCGTATTTTAGGCCTCCACGGTGTCACAAACAGGAATAATGTTTAAATTTTCACCAATTGCAAATATTATAATCTGGAATGGACCGGGGAATTGTGGGTTCAGCAAGGAACAAAAATAATGAGAAAAGGAACGGAGAAACGAATTTGAGAATAGGCCAATCAAAGATTACGAAAGACTTTCAATTTTTGTAATCTTTAGGTATTCCCGTTTGTGACTCCGTGAGAGGGGGTCGTCTTAACTCTCAGAATAAAGGGACTCTTCCTACTCCCAACTCCGTTATATTACATGGAGTCCAATATCATGAACCAAATGCTACATATCCACGTCCAATATGAACCGAGGTATCGCCTATCTTAGATCACGGTGTATGGCGTCATCCACCGCAATGCATGCGGTGGTTTCTTCCACTTTGGTTTTATCCGAAATCGAGCTACCATTAAAAATGTGTGTGCTCCTAATTACATACAAATCCAAGGTGGAAGCAACAACGGTATGTGCTGTCAAGGTGAATGACGTCATACGCCGAGGGTTTTTCGAGGGGCGATATCTTCGTTAATATTGAACAAATAAATTAGGCGTTCGGGTGGGTTTAATTATGTTTTGCTTGTCTATAACCTCCACCCATCAAAATGCACCCTGTGACAAGCGCAACTGACCCATTGGGAATTTCTCGATTTTAGTAAATTTCTCAATCATCGCATCACGCTATGGTGCGTACTCGTACATAAAATTGACCAAACTTAGAATTTAACCGACAGTCCGAATGAATTTCGCAAATCGAAAGTCAGAACGATCTGCGATATTTACTCGGACCGTGCTCATGGAATTATTTCAAAAAGTTTCGTGGTCAAGTCAACTTTTGCGCACTAGTGCTTGGCCAATTAAAGTGTGTTCCGATGCTCGGAAACACTTGAGAAATGCCGTAAAATCCAGAATCGATCACTTAAAAGTTCGATTGTCTAATCTCTCTCCAAAATGCTGAAGGCCTTTGTAGACCGCTAGAGTGGGTGACTTGAAAATATGTGATACAAACTAAGCAAATTGTGCGTTTAGGGGTGTATTTTGGACACGTTTGAAGTTCAGCGTGATTTTAGGCTATCTACGTGTATAAAAATGGAATAATGTAATTCCTTTGGAAAATACAGTAAAAGTCTCTACAGTTGGCTATATCTCCTGTACGTGGACCCGTTGAATCGGGACGTGAGAAAACCGCTGATGTCCATTTTTCCAGTCTTAAGTGTTTATGGGTTCATAATCCTTTCCTCAGATGCAAAATACAATACAAAGTCAACAGAAATATTTGATTTCACGGAATGCTTTCATTTCGAGAGTGATTAAAGACATTTTAGAGGAAAATGAATGGGGGTGGGGGAAGGAATGAATTTTTCAGAGATTCATCAGACAACCGGGAAGAAAAACAAAAAATAATTAACAGAAACGCCCACCTGATCTGATGCATATTTCTGAGGTACATTCTGAGGTAACTACAGTTATATCTGAAACATAACAGAACATCAAATAAGTAATACCACGAATGATACGAATTTTCACAAGACCTCAATGAGGTACTGAATGAAAAATTTCATTTTAACTTAAGGTTTTTTACGAATTTCTGAGAATAATTATTTGAGATAACTTCTCTTGGTAAAAGTAAGCCTTTTTTTTATAATTATTCCTTTAAGAGACGTCTTCTTCTAGATTCACATCCTCATTCACCCCCAAAATTGTGGAACAGCTAGCACCTTTTCTCCTGCTCTGCTATTGAAATGCTTCACTTCGATTGTAAATAGAGACGGTGTAAGTCGGCAATCACATAACTCGTTTTCGGTGTCTGAAAATCACCGCCTCTATGTTATTTTTTACAAAAGAACAAATTGACGTCATTCTTTGAAGTTTATGCAGACTTTTCTTCGCACAGAGAAGGAAAATCACGGCGGTTTCAAAGAAATGCCGTTGAGTAGTTTTCAGTTTAAAATTTCCGTAATATTACCGGAAGTCTGCGAGAAGAAACCGAGTTATGTGATTGCCGACCTACACCGTCGATATATATTTTTTAAATCAATTTAGATGAGAATAATCCTTGCAGAGTGTGCAAAAATTTCAAAATCATGAGTTAAAAATCGCTGACTATGCGAGTATATATACCTATTAAAGCCTAACAGAGCGGAGCGGCGCGGCGCGCGGCTTGCTGCCAGCGCGACAAGCGCACTGGCGCCTACAAACCCAACAGGGATACTTCACGCATCGCGCAATGCGTGAAGTATTCCTGTTAGGTTTGTAGGCGCTAGAGCGCTGGTCGCCCTCGCCCAATGTGCCGCGGCGCTTTAAGCAACTATTTTGCAGTAGAGATGTTGCCTAGTATCATACGAAATTGAAGGCTGAAGATACGTGGTTGCCGACTTATACCGTCGATATGTTTTTTTCAGTGTTCTTTTTAATGTTTGACTAAAAATTAGAATCTCCAGTCTTGCAGATGGGATTTAGAAGTCTTTAAAAATCGTGCTGGAAACAAAAAACATGCATTTCACTTTTGCTGCAAAGAGAGCGTTAGTCTGTAGTATGCTTCCAAATGAGCATAAGTGTCACTTTCCTCAGCGAAAAATTCAAAAAAATATAGTCGCAGCCATTGCACAACGGGTGCATTGGACATTTATACCCTCTGAAAGACCCATCAGATAGCGTTACGGAGCAGAGGCGCTGTTTATAGGACGTGAAAAGACATTTTCTGAAAGGAGGGTGAACTTGTTGCTTCCATTGAAAATAAAACATTAACGATAAATTTGTCTCAAAAAGGTCATACACGACACTTCTGTCTTAAAGTGGGCGAACAATACAAATTGATTGCCAAAAGAAAAAGCGTAAACGCACGTATTTTGGGCAAGAGTAATGATACTGTTTAATCACAAAAATGGTGCATGATGAGATGATGACACCTTTACTCGAAAATCTTATTTATTTTATTTCCTCAGTGGACCACCAGACAAGATGAGAATTCAAGCATCATAACCCATAATCTCTATTCAAAATTTAACGTAGAACACGATTTTCACGACTGAAATTACTGAAAGTGACTTCAAACAATATATCAACGTGTTTCAATGCTTAGATTCAAATTTCCCGCTCATATAAAAATGAATTATCTATACTCGAGGTAAGTCAGACACTAAACATTACAGTGACAGCCTCCGCTGTGTGCAGTGGCGTGGCGTGCTTTACGATCTATCGATATTTCCCCATTTGAACCTGTGGTAAATAATCGAATATTAAGGTGTTCGGTGCGAACACCCTGTTTATCGATAGTTTTCCATAGGTTTAAATGGTCGGTCGATCTATAAAACGAAAGGCACGCCACGCCACTGGCTGTGTGGAAACATGAAAACGTCAATATCGGCTCAACTATATTGTGCGTTTCTTACACTTCTAACAACTCAGGGTGGGAAGGAACACTGCTTATTCATTATCATGCAAAAATAGGGCGACTTGATTCAGGTAGACTTCTGCTTTTCTCGAGAGCGGAAAATTCCAATTTTTCGTAACATATCCAAAATATAAAAGGCTCAAATAAGTACCACTGCTGGGAGTTGATTTCAGTAATTTTCGTCGTGCCATTGTGTTTTACGTGAAATATTGAGGAGGGTTCATATGGACCGCGTTTAGCAGAAAGGAACAAAGCCACATCAGCCATTGCCAAATTTAATCGGGCAATTTATTTTTTTACAAGAGAACGTTTATGCAGTTTCCTTTGAACATTTTATGGATTTTGCTTCGTATTATGCAGAAAGTTTACTGAAATTTGCACAAAAATCCGCACAATCGTTTTTGTGGAAAAAATAAATTGCCCGGTTAAATTTGTCAACAACCGATACGGCTTGGTTCCTTTCTGCTTAACGCGGTCCACATATGATAATGCTTAAATTTGTACCTCGTCTGATTGTCCATTTCATTTTCTTAAGTTCCACCTACTCTGCCGTGCTAAGCAAGAACGCCGTAAATCCATCAAGATTTTCCCTCGTTTTTTGGAACTTAACACTTTATAAGATAAAAACCGTGTTACTCACGCACCTCAAACTTTCAGGTTAAGTTTTCGATACTATTTGCAAAAGAATTCTGTAAAAACATTGTCCCGAGGTACACAACTTTTTCTACTATTATACATTGTTTCCAAAAAATGTAAAATTGCGTTTACGGCGTTTTTGCGTTGCGCGGCAGTACTCCCAGCCCAGTTATTGAGAAGAGCTTCAATGAACGTACACACATTCAGTAAGACTATACAGAGCGCTGCATAAGTGCCGAAGAGATGGAGCATATCACCCCGTATCCACAATGAACGGTTCTGAAATACGAGACGCACGGATGGCACGGACGCGGTCGGCGACGAGACGATTACGCAAGAAAACCCGCGACTGAGCGGATTGATGTGTCGGGGTGCGCGCGCCCCGGCGCCGCCGGTACCGGAAACCGGAGAAAACGGACGATCGGAAGTGGAGGAAAGCCGGGGAGACCTTGCAACCTTCGATGAATGGTTCACAGCATCGAGAGCGCTGGGCCACGGTTTCACAAGCGGCGCGCGACGCCATGTCAACCGCGCGCGAGGAGCTGCGATCGAGGGTGCAATAGAATCACTTTATACTGAGAGTTAAGACAATGTGAAACCATTTCTGATTGGTTACTATATTGTAGGCCTCCGCGGTTTCACAAATGGGAATAAAGATAACATTTTCCAAAGACCGAAAACGTTGTAGATCTCTCGGCGAGATCTCGACTTAATATTCCAATGTAAGCTGCCTGAGCTGAACACTCCCATCTCAGTCTTGCACTAGCATCATTGGAGCTTAAATTTGTTCACTCTAACTGAAATTTTGAAATTTGTTGGCTCTGAATTCGCCGGAAAATAGTGTGGACCCAGAAATATTTTACCACCTTGTTCCCTAAAGTTCGGGCCACATTTCTTGGGTTTTTTTCTCGTTAAAGACAAACTAATACCCGACCCGCGAGAAACACTAAAGTAAGTCCATGATTCCCTCCTTAGTCTATAGTAATCACCCATCACAACTATTGGAATCGCTCGATTTTCCATTTTTGTCCTCCTTGTGTATCCTTTTGTCTATCAATTTGCACCAATGGATAAATCCGTCCATTGTAATATGCATCAGCGATGGGTATCCCTATTAGCAATAGGCAGTTTAAAATCACTGTACCCGATTGCGCAGTAGTTGCCTTCGCGCGACCAAGTCTGTGTCGCGCGCTGTCTGTAAAACCGTGGCTTCACCTCGGCTTCGAATCGTCAGCTAACCTTGCGCTGATAGGCGGTGCATTTGCAGGCCGGGCTTGGCTTTCTTTTATCGTCGCTCCTTTTTTCTTTTATCAGCACGCGGAAAAGCCGCACACAGAAGAGGGATGTTTACCGTACCCAAAAACATCTGAGAGGTTTCAGGAACAAAATCCTGTGTTTGCAACGGGGCACTAGATGAAGTATATTATGAGCTAAACTTCCGCGCTAAGGAAGAGTACTGTAAGAGCATCCGAACGATGCCGAATTTCTTTCCAGGAAAAGTTAAGAATATTCCTCCTCGAAATTTACGGATAAACTAGACGCAGTTGTGAGCAAAAGTTGAAGGGATTTTTTTTCGAATTTCTGTAGAATTTTTCGTTGGTCGTCTTCAGAAGTTTGAAATTATCTCGAAAATATTTCCTGCGATACTTTCACTTTCCCTCACTAAGTTGGAAAGTCAATCCGGTCAGTAAATGGAAGATGATATTTAGTTTATTATTTATTGAAAGGGGGGGTTGAGGGCAAGCGTTGCGTAATTTTTAGAGGACGTCTAGCACAGCATTACGGAGCGATACACGGGAGTGGAGGTGTCAAAAACCCGAAAAATTTGGCCTTAGGTAATGTAGGTGACCTTAAAGTATCGGTAAATATTTTTCCTTAAAAGGATTTTTGAACTTCCTGTCACTCAATTAGCTTTCATAGATACAATTTTTTACGAAGCCACCCGAGACAATGGTAACAGGACAAAAACAAGGGGGGAAAAACTGGAAACAAGGCTAAAATACATCACTAAAAACCTTAGACGTTCCGATACAAAATTGAGTCATTTTCACCCGGAAAATGAATTTCAATTGAAAAATATCGAAACATTTTTATAAAAATTATGATTTTCGTTTTTCTTGGATCTCGGCCACCCACATGATTGTCTCAGGTTTCTGATCGATATTCACTGGGAAAAAAACACATTGGATCTAGAGTCCAGACTCTTAAAAACATCGACAAGAAAAAATCCTCCTGATTCAATCGGATTGAAGCTTAAATCAAGAACCCAGCCTCTTAATTTGAGCGGATTTCCTTTTGATTTAAGCTTAAATCTGATTGAATCAAGAGTCCATTTTCTTGTCAATGTTTTCAAGAGTATGGACTCTAGATCCAATGTGTTTTTTTCCAGTGTTTTTTTTAATTTTTAATGTATTTTTCGACTGGAAATGACTCAGTTTCGAG